AGTAATTTAGCTTTCGCCTTAGGTTCTAAGGCGGTTGCTTTATTCCTATAGAGAGTAAGGAATAAGGCTTATGTAAAGATCCCTTAAGATTGTTGTCTCGCTTACTTGGCGATCTACTATAGCTTTTCCTGTGATTTGCCTGCCTTACACATGCGTTATCTGAACTCTATACATTTAGCTTTAGCTATCACGTTGCCCTTCTTATTACAGGCTTTAGTAAACGCCTCTTAAGCTTATTTTATATAGGTGGCATTATAGTAATAATATAGTCTTCAGGAGAGCTTAATAGCTTTTAAGTACTCTGCAGTCTAATATAATTTTAAGAATAAGTTAGGGCGTAGCTATAGAGTAGACTTATTAATCACTTATTTTATTAAGTTTGTTAGCGTATTAGTATACTTATTAATCTTCTCTCTATTATAGAAAGAAAAAGAATAAAGAAAGGCTAATGTTTTGTTAAGCAAGTCTAAAAACTTTTTCTAGTCTATCTTCTTTTATACTCTTTGCCTGCGAACAGAATATAATTTAAGGGCGGTTTATTATTCCTATTCTGTTAAGACTAAGAGATAATCTGACCTTTATTCTAATTCAGATGTGATTCTATAGCCTGTTAGTTAATTTAGTAAGGAGTCTATAAGAAAGATAAGGTTAATAGTAGTTCTTTAGATAGATCGTCCTGAGTAAACATCTTTAATAATAGTTCTAAGAGGGAGCGTAAGCAAGACGCTTATATTATGTGTGTAACTTAGTAGCGTGTTAAAGAGGAGATGTTGATATAGATAAGAAGGACTACACTAGAACAGATAATATAGATTAAAGTCGTCTAGAAGGATGTGCTCTCCTAGCATACTAAGGGCCTAAGGGAGTGTATTAAGCGTGCTATAGTTCTTAGTATTACTATAGTAGATAAAAGGAGGGTTGTAATAGTTATAGATATTAATTATATATAAGTCGCCTGCAATTTGCAAAATAATTATAACTAGATGTCTAAATAAAAGAGTTCTATTTAGAAATCTATTAAGATCCTCTTATTTATATAGCAGCATACTCTTAATTCCTTAGCTCTTAAGTTAACTAAGTGAAACCTGCTATTAGCTAGGTTATAGATAACGCTATTAATAGAGTTGTACTATAGTTCCTAGATTACTATTATGTTATATATATTAATTCTTAGGTCCTAAAAGAAAGAGGCAAGGACTTTTTATCTGGATTTATTAATATTATATTAAAGAACTTGAAAAGTACATATTATTAAGAGGGTTAAGAGTAAGTAACTTTAATATCAAGGTGTCCTTTATATTTACCTTAGGGAACGCTTATAATTCGCAGGCAAATATTATGCTAATAACTTGTAATTTGCTAAAAGGTATAATGCCTAAGGTCTATAGTTGGCTAGAGGGAGTCAAGGGGTCTTAATTAGGGAGATAAAAGAGTAAATCGCCTTAAAGTTGATATTAATTATGGCTATTTTAGCTAGGCGGCTTATAAAGTAGGCTATCTTTCTCTTTTTGCCTCCTTTTATAAGGGTCTATTCTATATGTAATCCTGAATTAAAAAAGCAGCTATAGTTAGATGTTTAAAAGCTAGGAATAAATAGGAAGATAAAGGGAGGAGGAAAGGGAGAGGAGAAGGAAGGAGAAGAGTAAAAGAGCGATTTCTAGCTCTGTATTATAGTAGCACGTTCTACGTCTTTAATCTAGGCTAGGCAGGCGAATAACCACGCTTTATAGTTCTCTTTAGAGCATATAGTATAGCGCTTATAAATAGCCTAGAAGTTAGACAAAGGAATACAGTCTAGCGTTCTATAGCCTAATCTATAGTATCTATATTTTATCTTATTCTTATATAAGATGCTAATATAACTGTTATATCTTTAGCAGTTATAGTATTAGATAATGTGGCTTTTCTTATCAAATAGCTCTATAGTCTTAATCTTATATTACAAAATAACCTCTTCAGAAATCATGTAATTTACTTATAAAGGGCATATAACCTTAATAATTAGAAAGAAGAAAGCCTTAAATTAATTAAGCCTCTTAAGCTAGGAAGCTCTTTTAATTAGAAGGCCAGAATAAAGCTTCTTATTCTTAGCCTTAATATTCTTAGCTAAGAGGTTAAGATTATGTCCTTCTTTTCTAGTAGTACTAATATTATAGATAAGTATAGTAAAGAATTAGACATAAACCTTAGCTGATAAGCAGATCCTATTAATCTAATTAAGGTTTAATTATAAGCGTGTCTTAGCTAAGGCATCTTTAGTCTAAAGTACAAGGTTATTACTTAGTAGCTTTTTAATTATAATTATATTAGGGGCATTAGTAGAGTTGTTTCCTTTTATTTATAGCCTTTCTATAATCTATTTAAAGGAAAAGGGTTTAAGTAAGTAAGCATCTTTTAGAGAGACCTTGACTAGGATTTAGTTATTAGTATAAGAAGATTCTGATTAGGTAGGCACACAAGAGACAGTAACGCCTGTAAGACCAGTACAGGTTGCTTATGCGTAGCTCACAGGGCTAGGGGTAACTTTCTGGTTGATGCCTAAGATGAGGGCTTTAATTTTCTCTAGTCTAGTCTCGACTAGGGATGGATTATGTAGGGCTGTACAAAGGTACGCGTGAACAGCTAGGAGGAAAGAGGTTAAGAGAGAGAGTAATGGATTATCAGGTGGCAGAGAGAAAAGGAAGGGCAAAGATTCGAGTTTTTTGATCGTGCTGAGAAGGCTGGCCCTTTGCGTTCTGTCATTAAAGAGAGCGGGAGAGGAGTGGAGAGGAGTGAAGGGCTGCTAGATTTGGGTAGATTGCTTATTAGAGGAGGGCAGGCGATTTACTTATAAAGAGGACGCGCTTTAGGTAAGCAGTAAGTCAGGCATAATATAAATAATTATTATATTATTATAAATAACTTTTATTATAAAATTTATTTTATTAAAGTTATAAAAATTATAATCTTAAATATTATACTTTATATATATATTAAGAATTAGTTAAAATTATACCTTTATCTAATTAAGATCTTTATAAAGGGCTCTCTAAAAATTATATATACATGAAAAACGTGTCTTAAGCTTAGGGTAGCGTTATACAAAGTTGTATAGCCACTGCTTACTAACAGGCTTTACGTAATACGTCTTGCAAAGGAGGTCAGCCATATCTTATACGTTGTTAATCCGGGGTAGGAATCCTCACGAATCCAGGTCGAGAATATATTGTATAAGCGTCTCTTCTTTAGTCAGGGTCAAAATGTATTAAGTATTATGCTCTTTAGCCTTTAGGGTACAGCCTTTTATATAATTGCAGAAGGTAGTTTAAGGGACATTATATGTTTTTACAGTATATTAGATTAATATTTCTTAGTTAATATAAATAGCCTAAATAATAAGTATTACTAGACGTCTCTAAAGTATTCGATAGAGTCTTACACGCTCGGCTTACTCACAATCTGAGAAAGAAAAGGAGTCTTAGGCATTATGTGAAAGATTAATTTAAGTAAACAAATATTGCTGCAGTGCCACCTTTAATAATAGACTCACCCAGATCTAAAGAGAAGGATAACCATAGCAGAAGGAGCTATAAATAAGGAGCAGTAGTATGTTTAGTAACATATTATAAGCTGCTTAAAGTTTTTTATATTATTTTTTTAAGATTAAGGTTTTTACCTCTCTTATACTGATCCCTCCTCTTATTATCTCTTTGCCTCCACTTGTAACTAGTTGTATCTCATTGATGATAGCTGAAAGCAGATTCTTCAGTGTTAGGGGTTCCTGTAGGTCTCAGGGGAGCGGAGCCTGCGCCCCCTGGCCGTCTATACCTTCGCTTCCAACTACCCTGCGAAAACAATTGACGTGAGTGAGTGTAGCTGAGTGTAGATGACCATAGTAGTTTGTATCTTGACTGAGAATCAGGTTTGTCTTCTTTTCTGACCAAAAATTCACTTATCCTAAGTTAAAGACCTTAAAATATATTATATAATTATTAAAATTCCTTAATAATAATAAGATTATATTGATTGTAATAAGCAATGTGATATCGTTCAGATTTACTAGTTACCAGTAACTGTAGGAATTGGCCGTATGGCGTACAGCCAATCCCTAGCGCCGCAAGGTAGATAGAATTCCACTCATCCACTTCATCAGTGACTTCAAAAATTACAGAGTATATAGCGTTAGCGGCAACCTTGACTAAGACAGATCGAAAGACAAGTGTACGCGAGTGATAGGGGTCGGAAATTGGAACCTAACAGCCTGAAGGACACGAAACTAGGCTCTCTGAGCTTGGAGGATGCCCCAGAATCTGGCCTCTATAAAGAGCTCAGGGCTGCTCCAATTTAGCCATCCTGCTCTGTTCATGCGTAGGAATCTGTGTATTAAGCCCTCTTCTACTGTTGTGTATGCATCCCATCCGCGTTAGTGACTGCTTGACATCTATCGTGCAACAATATTCGGTCGAAGATATCCCTCTCCCCTAGTAAAATTGTTATTAACGGCCTTCATACCGATACCCTTTGTTGTTACTACTACCATGACAATGCCGTGGGACTGCCCGCTCTGATCGCCCAGAGCACGTCAAAATGATTCTTTAAGCTTGTGAGGTGTTGCTTGACAGAGGAACAGACGCTAGTACAACGTAGGCAGTACAACGTCGAGTGAGATACTACATCCAAGTATAATACTGGTAGTGTGTAAAGCAGTATTAGCTCAATGTGTCAATTTGTGATATTCTCATAACTAGAAAGCTGAGGCACAAAGTCTGACTTGGAAAGCTCCGCACGCGCCAAGGCTCCACATCGCCCACGGACTGCCAAGCATCAGGGTGTCCGCTCACAGGCTCTCTAATGCTAGTAGTATGTAGCAGCACTTTTCCAAACACCAGCATTGCCCTACCTCGCGCAATCCGAGGGCATCCTCCCTTCTCTTCCCTCCCAAACAGCATCCAAACCACATTCTCCGTCATCATCCGCCCTCCCAGACCCAACCCGCACGTAATCCCCCAATCCCTCAAACCATGAGCAGCAAACGCATCGAATCCTGGGAAATCACCCGCTACTGGGAGATCTTCGCGTCGCTGGTCTCGCCCTCCAACCCAGCCTCCACAACCCCGCACCACCGGCTCACCAACACGCAAGCCGCGACCGTGCTCCGGAACTCGCACCTGCGCGACGACCAGCTCGAGCAGGTCTGGGACCTCTCCGACGTCGACGGCGATGGCGAGCTGGACTTTGAGGAGTTCTGCGTCGCGATGCGGCTGATCTTTGACCTGGTGAACGGGGAGCTGCACGAAGTGCCCGCCGAGCTGCCGGGGTGGTTGGTGCCGGAGAGCAAGGGCCATCTGGTCGCGGCGAGTCGCGCGTTGAAGCAGGAGGGGAGGGGTGGGGGCACCGGGTTTGAGAGGGTTGTAGATGACGATGCAGAGGAAGACCGGGGCTTGAGGGACGGGTTTGAGTGGTACATGAAGCCGGCGGATAAGAGGAAATACGAGGAGATTTACTCGGCGAATAAGGACCGGAGGGGCGAGATCAGTTTCGAAAGTCTACATTCTCTCTATGCGAGTTTGGACGTTCCGGATACGGATGTCAGGTCCGCGTGGAATCTTATCAATCCGTCGGCGCATCAGACGGTGGGCAAGGATGCCTGTTTGGCGTTCTTACATATCCTCAATAATCGACATGAAGGGTTCCGGATTCCGAGGACCGTGCCACCGAGTTTGAGGGCTAGTTTTGAGAATCGCGGCATTGATTATCAGGTTGACAGTGTGAGGAATGAGGATAGGGCGAACAAGTATGATGATACGACGACAGGGAGAAAAGCTAAGTTTGGAGATGCTTACCTATCCCGGATTGGCGGTGGCAGTGGAGCAGGCAGTGGGTATCAGCCCAAGGGCACTGACTTCTCGGATGTTGTTGAGGATGAGGACTTGGAGAGGGTGAGGTTGCTGAGGGAGTTGAGGGAGCTGGAACAACAGCATGATGCTGCGGTTGCGGCGGCGGAGAGGAAGAGGAAGCAAAGGCAGGAGGGCGGTGGGCAGAGGAATGTGTCTGGGGGCACGAATTGGACACTGGTCAAGAGGGAGGCACAGCAGATGTTGGAGTATAAACAGAGAGTGTATGTGGAGTTGAATTCGGAGAAGTCGGGCAAGAGTGGAGAGGAGATGAAGAGGTTGAGGGAGGATCTGGCGTTGGTGCAGGAGCAAGTTGAGGGATTGGAGGCGCATCTGAGGAGGAGGGAAGCGGAATTGCAGAATGTGAAAAGGGAAATTGATGATGTGAAAGCAGGTAGATAGATCGCGTAGCTGGATGCAATTGGCATCGGTCATGCGCGAGACCGCTATGCCATTATAATACACTTGATGGGCGCATCAATTTGCAAAATCAACAATATCTCCCGTCTATGGCCGTGTTTTCCTTAATCCTTCTGAAGGCATCGGTCTATCGCCTCGCTTGAAATTGGCTAGTTCGGTCTGTCAGCATTTTACTTGGTATGTCCCGAGGTGGTTCTTCATACCGTCCGCTTCTTCCCATGCTCTTCCTGCGCCGAAACCTGTTCCGAACACTACCGGCCATGCTCTTCGCTTGAACAGGAGGACTGAGAATATGACGCCAAAGCCGAAACCAAGGCCAGATCGTACGAGGAGAGAGGAGATTGCGCGGTCCCACTACATTGAGTTGGATTGTCAGCACTTGATAAAACGAAGCCCAGCTTTCTGTTCAATGTGATTGACCAGTCAGAGTGCTGAGTGAGCGTGTCGGGGGGTTGACAACAGTCATGAACATCATAGAGTGCATTATGGAGCTGGTCGAGGACCAACAATGTCTTCAATGCTTCGCAGTCTCGTTCCGATGCCCAAGAATGCGATCGGAGCGGGTGAGGATTGTGAAAAGGGCAGAATGGCTCTTCTGAAGCTCGTTGAAGCTCGGCAAGAGGGAGGAGACGGCGTGGCGCTGGTTTGTATGCCTGCTGGGTAGTGACGCTTCACGTACCTTTTCGTTGAGGAGAGCTTCGCTGACAGGTTTTGGTGACCGCGCGGTGGGCACTGGCGGGCCGGAGACGTTCTTCTCGGCCATTTGGGGCCTGCGAAATATATTTCAGCATTCAGCAACTCCCTCGTATATTCGAACATACCTTTTTTGGGGTCAATTGAGCAGGAATTACAATAGTGCAACTTTCTGCCAGCTCCCCCGACGTTCGTCAAAGCTTCCCTCACTTACTAAGTACCCAGTAGCTTGGAGAATCTTGGCACCGGACAATCAGGCGAAGATCATGTTGCAAAAGTGATGCTCATTTTATGATTTATAAATACCGCCTTTTGCAATATCAAGCTGATTTTATTCCACCGCCCAACTATCTAATTCTTTAGTGTATAAGGAGATGCGCGTCGCCTGCTATTGTAAGGTGCCCTGTCTGTTATGTCTTCGTCAACCGAACAGTCAGCGCACCGTGCCTTGCTGAGCCTCGAAAGAAGTACTGCTCCTCCAAGCGAATTGCTCGATGAAGCGGCCAGAATCTTAGGGGTCAATTTTGAGAACATAAAAGGTGAATTGTTTTCGGAACCGGTGGACTGTGCGGCGAGGAATTCGATTTTGTTTGCAGCTAGGGAAGAGTGGGCATTGAGATGGTTGTTCAAAAAGACTAAACCGGGTGCAAGCACTAAGTCTCTGGAATCAAAACCAGACTCATCTGCCAATAACAACCCTCGCAAATGGCTGTTGTTCTTTTATCTTGTGCAGAAGGTTCCCGTGAAAAAAATCGCGAAAACACTACGGGATCAGGACGCAGTCCAACAGGTACAGGATGTCTTAGAGCATCTAGTCGATTCGCCAAAGCCATCTACCCCCACAACTGCCTCTCCACGAGTACAGTCGCCTACTTCTCGCAAGTCAGATGATGATGATTACGCATTACCGCAAGCCGGGACCAGGAAACGAAAGCGCCCGCCAGGTCTAGAAGAGTCGGTGGGCGAAGACTCCACTTTACAGATAGTTCTTTCCGTATTGCGAGCACTGAAAATCTGTTTGGACAATGCCTCAGCTACCGAGGGAGAAGATGCTGTAGCACAGCAGCACATGCGAATAGCTCTCAGTCTTTCACCGGAAAGGGCGGGCATCATCCTTGAGTATATCCTTCTCCTGGTGCATGACGTCCTCAGCACCGCGACACCTTCTTTTGACAGCCATCTGCTTCATCACTTCTTGGCTGCACTGCGCTTATGGGACCTTCGACGTGGTCCAGATCTGGGGCATACGAACGAGGAATGCAACCAAATTTTCACAGCGCGATGTCTCCTACCGGGCTTGTCTTTGCTCAAATCTCTGAGGAACATGGAGGTTAGAGATCACCACAAGGATATAGAGACTTGGTTGGAAGGTCACATTGTCCAACATACCGTTGAGCCAACCCGAAAGGTCTTTTTTGATGAGTTAACAGTCAATTGGAAGGCTAATGAGGACCCAATATCACCGGAACACATCCAGCCAGTGATTGGTCAACTGCAGAACCTTCTGTTCCCGTCTACCATACTAGAGGCGCAGTCAGATGCTGCCAAATGTCATCCAATCAGTCTTCCTTCCACTGCTCCAATCCTCCTCGAACTTGCCGTCAGGTCATGCCCGAAAAGTACAGTCAGAAAGGCACAGCACGAGCAACCTTGGCTTGAGGCTTTACTCGTCTGTCTGTCATATGCAGGTGGGCGTTCATTGGTCGACAATGTAAAGGTAGTGCAGACGACAGAGGAAGCTGGTCCGGAACCATGTTCCCATACTGATTTTCACTCCACGCCGAAATCTCTAGTCTGTCTAAAAGGGCTACTCAGCACAGCTATTCAATGGAAAGTGTCGCTATCATTGTCACTTCTCGGCGCCTTCGCACAGCAATTCGCACGCCTTCAAGAACATGAGTCTGCTGACTGGGCTGTTGTGGAAAAAATTATGCAACTTGACGTTAATGTCTTTTTGCCCAACTCAGGAATGACCAGTGCCAAAATGTTACTCGATTCACTCATCGATGCATTGAATTTCCATTCTAGCTATAGGTATTATCCTAGCGAATCAGCCCTGGACTCTCATACGTTCGTCAGAATCGTAAGTCTGTTGATGGAAGGATTTGCCTCGGCACGGGATCTTGGAACATTCGTGAACATCTGGATGGACCGTCTTGCAGAAGCTGAAACTGCTCGGGACGTAAATCAAAAGAACGGTCAATCGGTAAAACCATACAGCTTGTGGGAGGATGAAGACGTGATGGCGGAGTTCTCCAAAGTCGCAAAGAGATATGTTACACCAACCTTTATCGAAGCACACCTAGAGGCTACTGTCCAGCCGTTTCGAGATAAGACTTACGCCGGCAAGCATTACGGTTTGGTCTTTGTCCTTGACATTCTTCTTACCACGCATAAAGAGGAGTTCGAAGCTGCAACGGACACTTTGAAGGTGCTTTGCCTCGAGCTTCGAGATGCAGTGCAAAGTCTCAAGGGTTTTGGCAGAATGATCGGCTTCCTCTGGAGGCTTCTTCGGCACAGTCTTCCCTTTGTTGGGACAGAATTACCTTTTCTGAATTTCCTGGATGTTGTCATGGACAAGGAACAATCGATCGTCAAAACTGCACTACAGAATGCAGACGAGAAGTCGGTCACTTACCTTACGTCAATTTCACACTTCAATGAAGTCGAGAGGTTCCATTGTTTCATTGAGGCCGTTGCCCTGCATCGGTCCCACGTCAGCGCACAGCTGGTTCTAGAGATTCGCTCGCTGACTTATCATGTGGAAAGGCTTGAGCATGTCGCAATCACGAACGAAAATACACCGCTTTTATGGGATGGTCGTATCACAAGTTTGGAATGCAAGCACGACCTGCTACTGACAGCCTTTCTTTGCATTCTCATACAGAGGTCTCGAGTGTTGTGTCTTGACACTGAAACAACAATCTCTCTTCTGAAGGGTTTGGCTCTGCATGTGGCCGGCGACGTCAGAGGAGATCAGAGTCCACAATCAGGATTTGCAGTCCTTCTTGAGGGGATTCTATTGGATGAAGCACTTGTCAGCACTCCAGGATTCGTAAAGAAATGCATCAAAACTATTGGTTTCACGGGTGATTGTGGTGGCAATTTCAGGAAGATGGCGATCATCCAAGCATTGCCGAGAGAAGCTATGAGTAAGGCACAAAGGAAGCAAATCGCAGAATGGCAACGTGAGATGGGGGCGGCCTCGAAGAAAAAAACTGTTGATGTTACTGTATTAGAAAGAGACACTGCCAAATCCCACATCTCACCACAAGGCACAAGCAATGCAGAAACGAGCTATGGTGACCTGCAACGGTCGTGTCGCAACGCCATCGAAGAGGCTGCTTCAAAATGTAGCGAGGACATCCTTGGTTTGTGTGAGAGTCTCCGCAAGGAGTCTTCCAGCCGAACAAACCTCCTGCTTGTAGGATCAATGCTTCACAAAGGAGGCCCCATCTCTCCTTACACAACAGCACTGGCAGTCGATCTATCAACTCTACTCCCGACAACCACCTCCCTGGAGACCTTCTGTCTAACAGCAGACTGCCTCAAGCTCATCCTAGACAAACACCACCCCGCCGTCAACCAATGGACGATCGACAGCCTCCTCGCCCACATCGCCATCATCACCTCTTCTCAAGGCCCCATCCTCCCCAACACCGCCGCACCCATCATCTTCGAACGCCTCTGCCGCCTCCTCGGCGTGGTACTGGGCCGCTACCGTATCCGTCTAGGAGGACGGTACCACCTCCTCCTCCCAGCTCTGTATGGCCTGCTCCACTGCCTCTTCGCCGCCGACCCAACCTCTCTCGCCACGCCATCCCAACTCTGAGTCTACTCCAAGCTCCCGCCCTGGATCCGCTCCTCCAATTCCACCACAGCCACGGCGACAAAACTAACCAGGTCCTCCGCAACCCACCTCACCCGCCTCCTGACCACCCTCTGCGACCCCACCCCCTCCTCCGTCAATCACAAAGCCCACAACTCCCTGACCGACGAGACGCAGAAA